ATGTCATTAAGCATTTGAGAAGATCATGGAGGAAGAGTAGACATCCACCATAATTTGATTTTTGTATAACACTAAGCAAATATAAAGAAGTAACTACACTTTTATTAAAGTCAGTTCATTTATTCTATTAGTGATAGTACGTTATGCTACTTATAAAAAGGTCAATTTCGAGAAGAGTCAACGTTCCTCTCTGTCACACCACAAATACTGGCACATGAAAAATTTACTAGTTGTCTTACTCTTTTTGACAAAGAGACATATCAACAATAAATTTTTGATAGAACATGTTATCATACTCGTCCCTTAGGAAAATATGTTGAATACGATTAGAAGAATGTTGAAAGAGTTCTAACTTTTCCAATTTAATCAAAGTAACCATCTTCATTCACTTCCAGAATCATATCTATATTGTTAAACTCTATTCTATTCATAAGTTTCCATCATTTAAGTTACAAAAAAGTACAAAAAATTTTAAGTTGTCTCATGTACTTTTAAAGTTACTCCGCATATTAAAGTTTGAATTTCTAATCTAATTATAATTTATTTATTTATTCACTTCTATAAATGTCGACATCACTTAGTAAAAAATTCTAATATATCACTACTTATTGTTATGCAATTTTAAAAAAAAAGAAGCAAAACCATCTAAATCTATAATATTATCAACATACAATATTAAAGAGGAATATTGATCACTTCTAGAACTTTCTGATTTAAAAAAATCTGGCATGAAATGACATGATCATGAATTCAGGCCAGAACATGGAAAAGGCTAGGAAATAAAAGTCATAATCAAACCACAAACTGCCATGTGTTCCTCCTCTTTATAAGTTCAATAGAATCACTTGAGATTTCTCTCTAATAAAAAATAAAAATCATATGTTTTGTGTATTTGTATCATACAAGTTTGAAGATGAATGTCAATCCCTTCTAGAACTATCTCAAGTTATCAATTCTTATTTAAAAATTGATTGATATGAAGATGTTAGAGCTTATGTGGCATGTTATACAAATGAAATTACTTAATAATAGAAGTCATAATCCTTGATTATTTTCATAAATAACCAATTAGTGGTGCTTTTGACCCTATCAAACCAAAAACTGCCATGTTCACCCATTGGTTGTCTATAGTGACAAAGACATTAATCATTTCAGTTGTCATTAATGATTGGGGAAGGGATTTAAGTTATACTCATTTATTAGTGGTGTAATTAAATTTATAATAGTAGGTTAATTATTACTTTTATTAAATTATCATTTTGCGCTTCTTATAAGTTTTATTGGTAATTATAGATACAATTGAATCTAGTATTGACTGTATAAATATTTTTTATATAAGTATATATAGCTTAAGATCAGGAAGATATATATTTTTTTTAAAATTATCTTTTTAGAAAAGAATCTAGGTGATTTATTTGCATTGAAAACATGTTGCTTCTCTGTCCTTATCATGTGCTAGTCCTAATCATAGCTCATGGATTTGAAATGAAACATTGAAACCCACTAAGCAGCAAATATTTTACTCAAAAAATTATGATTTTTATTTATTTATTTTCTTGTGAAAGATTATTTGTTATGACGTTTGGTATCTTTGTGGCATGTATGAAATGCAAGTTTGAATACATCAAAGAAGAAAGTGATTGATATTCAATTAACATTGTCATTATCATAAGGTTAATCACACTTTAATAATTTCGATTTAAACAACAAAAACTTAAAACTCCGCTACTTACTTCCATAGTTAATGTTGATATCAATATTAATGAATTTGCACCTGAATTGTGTGAATATCTTCTCTTACCAATCGGGTTGTGGTGGAGTGATAAGTACTCCTTCATCCTTAACTATAGGTCTCGATTCGAGTTTTGGTTATGTAGTCGCTTGATGTGACATTTGCTGGTGTGACTCCGTATTTAGTCGGGTCCTAGTGTAGGTACTGGATGCCAGGTAGGTCTGTGCATAATTTAGTAAATACCAAATTATCATACCGAAATCGAAATTTTTGGTATTTGATATTTGGTATTTTGGTATTTGGTATGGTATTTGGTTTATATTTTAAAAATAATTTAGTATTAGATATGGTATTTGGTATTTTCTTTAAAAATACCGAAATACTGATATCGTAGCGAAATATGTATTGGATTAATTTTAAATATCCTCTCATCCTTGCAGCCCCCAGTTACCAGAGAACTTAAGGAGAATATTTCTAGTTCCATGTTCTTTAGTTAAAGCCTGCGCGCCACCTATTTTTGTCTATGTGGTTAATGGATGTTACCCGAATGATTTTTGTAAACAACACTTATGAAAAACTTATTTTGGTCACATTTGAGAAGCTTACTAGTGTCTGGTATTTTACGGAGATGCAAGCTAGAGCTTTAGACCAGACATACTTACATGTTGATGAAATTTGTAAACGTTATTCTAATCTTATGCTCTTGTTTATAGAAGTCACATATATGATGTGTAGTGTTGTTGCATTCATAAGATTGATTTTGGTGGCTAGTTGTAATTTTAATTTTACTGGCTAGTTAAGGTGTTATTCTCCCCTAAATATAACGTTCAGAAACTGCTTTAGAACCGAATAAACCGAAGTTACCGTACCGAATAAACCGAAACCGAAAGGCAAAAAATCGAACCATACCGAATTTAATTAGGTACGGTATTGGTATAGCATTTTAGGATACAGAATACCGAAAATACCGAACCGAAATGTCTAAATACCGTACCGTACCGACCGACGAACACCCCTGGGCCCTTTTGGCCATAATTGTTTTTACTTTTTTTCGAAATAAGTGTTTGCCCATGAAAATTTCAAATTTCACTTCAAGATGACTTTCGAATTTTTTCAAATATTTGAAAAACTCCAAAAAATTATTTTTTAAAATTGTTACTTCAAATCACTCACAAAAATTTAAAATTACATTCATGTCCAATCACAACTCTAAGTTTTAAATATCATTTTTACTTTAATTTTTTTGTTTTTAAGTTTTTAGGAATTTCACAATTCTTTTGCCTAAACGCCCACTAAATACTTTCTTGCCGAAATTACTTGAACTATACAAACACGAAATTGACTGGCCACAGCAGCAGCCACGCTATCTATTTTCCATGGGTCCCACTGTCACTCTGGCACTATTATCTGACCTGGCAACCACATTTTTTAATAATATTATTTTCTTAACTCCTATAACCAATCTTATCGGCACAACACACCCAAAATTTCCAAAAAATTCCATATCTACCCCTTTCCCTAATTTAAAGGCCAATAAAAAATAAAAATCAAATCCACTATCTTCACGTAAACCTCAAAAGAGAGGATAAATCTCTGCTTAAACTCTTGTTTTATAGCTGTTTTTATAGTTGCTTTAAATATCTCTGTTTCTGGTTCGGTGGTTGAATTATTGAAGGGAAAAAATACATAATATCTTGTCCCTAATTTTTTATGATTTTGAGATTAAGGAGCAAAAAGAAGAAGTGGGGTTTTGAATTTTTGGTGTAAATTCTGGGTTTGCACAAATTCTGATTTTGTTTTGAGTTTACAAGGTATATACATTGGCTTAAGCCTTAACCTTATACGGGGTTTTCTTGTTATCTGTGCTGAATCTTTTTTCAATATTCCAAGTTAGATGGAGAAGGAAAGTTTTTAAGGTTCTTTTTGGAAATACCCAAATTGGAATCTCAAAAAGTTACCTTTTTTGTTGTTATTATTTTCTGAATATTTGAGTTGTCTTAAAAAAATTTTATTTTTCTGTTTAGTTATGATGGGGTAATTGGAAAGCTCATTTTTTTTGAATTTTAGATTTGAATAATGGTAGTGGGATTTTGTTGAGCTGGTTGAAATGGGATTTGATTTTTATTTTCAGAAATTCCAGGTTGTAACTTGTATATTCCCATTAATTGAGCTAAATTCAGCTATTTTTCAGGGTCAATTGTTTGTTGTTCTTTTCTTTTATGACCTATTTTTGGGGCTTTTCATTAGCTGTCAAATTATGAAGCTTTGTTTCAAATTGAACATGAACATGCTTTGACTGGTTAGATTTGATTGCTAATAAAAATGTAGAAAATAAAAGGAGAAGAATTTGAATTATGTTGTGTATTTATTTTAATTAGGAAACGTGCTGGTGTCTCACCTTATAATTGAATAATGGCAATATTGTAGGCCAGATTCAATGGAACAAGATCCCTCTTTCTTTGGGGTTATACGGCTTTATTTTAATTCAAAATTCAAGGTTTCTGTACTCTTGTATATTAATAATAACCAATAATAATATTTTCCATCCCTTTTCTTGATATTTGCTTAAGCATAACATGCATGTGTTAATGTTTGTTTGATATTGTTTTGATTGTGTTCATCTTCTTACCCTATCTTTCTTGTAACAGAAACAAATCAATCGGTTAATTTTGATAAATTCTTGGATATAGGAAAATATGGCCTTGACATTTACCCCATTGTCATGGTTGCTTTGGAGTGGAAAGCATCAAGAACCTAAAATCTCAAATGGTTCATCTTCAAATTCATCACCTGATTCAGGATTGTGGGAATTGGATACTTTGAAGTTCCCTCTCGACCGAAGGAGGAACATGACTTCCTCATCTAGAAAGGTTAAGCGAAAATGGCAGAGTCGTGAGGAGCGAAAGATTGACAGGGAATATGATATTGTTATTGTTCCATCGGACGGAGGATGTGTTTCAGGGTCTGAGTCTGATGATTCAGACTGGTCGGTTGGATGGTTGGAACCTCACGGCCCTGGATTTCATAGCGACGATGATTCAGATGATAGTTTTGCTGTGCTTGTTCCTTGCTATGGCTGTGGTTGTGCTAATGTGGAAGAAAATGCACAAGACAAGTTTCTGCAAGCCGTGGGAAACTTGAATGATATATATGCCACTGGTAAGAGTTTCTTTCTGTTATGTTCTTGTTATTTGAATATGATTTCTGCTATTGTTGTTTGTATCTCTTGGATGACGTGGAAAATTTACCGATGAACTTTGAAGAATAATAAACACCTTACTATTAAAGACCTTATAAAAGGCTTCTCTTGGGTTAATCATTCATTGCTGGTAAAATTGGCCATTAAGTATTAATATTCATTCAGATTTGCTGCTTTTGATACTTCACTCACAGAGGCTCTATTCATTGAAAAGTTCAATCCAATTTCTCAGTTACGCTCACTATAACTAAGTGGATTATGCGAATATATACCATTAATCTTCTTTATACGAATGCAACGCCTTACTGGTTCCTCATGCCAAATATTTGTCGTTTGTTTATTCACATAGTTAACAAGAGATTAGGGTTGAGGCATAGCAATACTAGTAGTAGTCGTTGCAGCTAACAAGAGAGTATGGAAGGCCTGAGTGAGTAGCAGATGTCAGGAGGCTAGAATTCCACCTCGTGACACTTTGCCGCTAGGTTGTTCCCTGGGGACCTCATTGATCAAAGGAGTTCAAAATTTCCAAAACCTGTATTGATACAGTATGTGTTGTTGCTTCTTGACACCAAGAGAGCAATGTGGCAATGCTTCTAAAGCAACTACTTTGATGAATGTCTTAGTTTCCTTATTGTGTTTACGAATCTGAGTATTTGGTTAGCTGGAAAGACTTTTGAAAGTTGAAATGGTTTCACTTTTGCTATTTTTTTTTTCCAGTTTAGAATTTGTCCTTAAAGGGAGAGTTACAAGCTTGTTAAAAAAATTTGTAATCTTTCTTCAAGCATATAATCAGTTGAATTAAGTTTTGCTGCTTTGCTTCCTCTTAAATCCGCCGTCTTACTTGCCAAAAGCTTCCCTGCAGTAAGGTGGTTATTCAATGAAGTTACTTTCATTTAGATTGTTTATTGAATGGTCATCTTGTTGCCTATAAGGTTTCTGTAATCCAGAGAAACTAGGTTGTAGTTCTTTGGCCTTCTTCTTTTCTCTTTCAGAAAGGTGGCAGTATTAACTAGTAATAGAAAAGACAAGAGTGCCATGGCCAACCAACATTAGAAATGGAACATTTTCCCTTGTTACATTCAAGGAGCATCTCCAACGCCATTAAATTACTTGCCCCTTGTACTCTTCTCGCACTGTACTCTATGTTCTGTATAACTAGGATCTTGGTCTTGTCCATCACTTGATCAGTTAATAGGAATTTAGCACCATGTTATTATCGATAGTTGGTGCATAGATTTGCATGATTCTGTTACTCCTTGTTGCGAAGGAATCTGTGATTCTTACTTTGCTAGACCTTTTATATATGTTAGATTTTAAATTTGCTGTTATTGATCATGAAAGATTTTAACTTTGCTGTTATTTGAAAGTCCTCATGTTTTCTACAACATTGTTCTTTTGCTATTACACATATTCTAATATGAAATTTTTTCCTTAAAACCATTTAGTTTCTTTCTGATTGTGCATAAATTTATCAATAATGCATTGAATTAGATAAAGAAACAAAAAAAATCTATAAAGAGTAAACTATTGGTAGCTTTCCCTTTCCATCACACAGTTCTTTTAGCTGTGTACTTTGTATGATTTAGGATTCTTTCTTGACTTTGGAATTTACATGCAGAGAATAAGAAGTATATGGAGCACTGGGTCTCATCTCTGAGGAATCGCTGAAATCTAGCAGTGCCGGTAGTGCTCTGCTACTTCTGCTGATTGCTCATTACAATCTTAAATATGAACTTTGTAGAAATCTAAGATTGAAAACAAAATGAGACACTAAAAAGAAAAGAAAAAATAATCTGGGAAAATTTGATTTGTAAAAAGAGTTCGGCTTGAAGGACATTAATGTTTAGGGAGAAGAAACAGCAGAGGACAGAGAAATAATGCTGTTTCCTATCCACTTGAGATCTCAAAAACAAATTTTTTTTTTATAAAAATTCAAAAAAGAAAAGGGAACCTCCCTTTGGTACGTCATGGATAATATGGTTTCTTCTGTGTCTGTTCTCCAGAATTGGCTTTGAAGATGTGTGACCTCTACTTGCTTCTTGAACATTGGTGTAAATTTGCAGTGGAAGGAGAAGTAAAGAAACGGATGACGGAAAAGACAGAATTCTTGAAAACAAAAGAAGCAAAAGGAATGGTTGTGTGTTATGCTTTTTATCATTTTTTATGTAAATATCCGTGAATATGTAAATATGTTCATCCAGTTGTAAATATGTCCATCCAGTTGTAGATAAGTTGTTTGATTGATAACCTTCATAAGTATACTGTAAATAATTGGAAACTTATGATTGCATAAAAATGGCACTGCTGTTTAATGGTGATATTTTCATATCCCCCATGTTGTTATCCAATACTTCCTAACTTTTGTTGGCTATGCTGTTATTGAAGTTGTTGGGTGGAAAGAAATGACAGAAAACTTGCCTTAATCTGCTACAATACCACCTTGTTATCACTACTCAAGAAGAGGAGAAAAAGTGATCAAAATGGGTGAGGAAAGGAGAACTTTTAATATGTATAAAGAGTAAAAAGAGGGGGGAAACTCCCACTAAACATCTCAACAAAAGAAATTCTCTTGCTTTTTGAGCTCCAGTACCACCTTGTTAGCACATCGAAGCGTAGGTCAATTTCCACTCAAGGGAGTGGCATTAGCATAGGTTTCATTGTTACTATTTGAGAGTCCAACAATTTTTTTCTTTCCCTTTCACCATAATTTTTTCACATATTTTCAACTATTTTAAATAGTAAAAATGTTGTTACTCAGAGTATTTTTTATATCTAATTATGCGGAATTTTATTTAAAAATGTTAAGAAATTGATATTCAAATTAAGATAAAGAATTAGAGAGTCTGATCCTTGAGCTCTGGACGCTTTCAACATTTTCTTTTCCTCCTCCAACATTCAAAAGAAAAAAAAATGGAAGGGATGTAGCAATATTGACGGATACAACAATAAAAACAACAAACCCAGTAGTTTCTCACGAGTGGGGTCTTGGGAGGGTAAGATGTACTCAACCTTACCCCTAACCCTGAAAGGGATAAGGCTGTTTCCGATAGACCCTCGGCTAGAATTAAAAAAAAGAGAGGAAAAAGTCATTACCCCTAACCCTGAAAGGGATAAAGGCTGTTTCCGATAGACCCTCGGCTAGAATTAAAAAAAAGAGAGGAGAAAGTCAAACCATTGCACCCCTCACCAAAAAGATAAAATAAAATAAAAAGATATAAAGAAGAGGGAAGGACATGCAAGCCATAATGTTATGTTAAACTAGTTATCTGGCAGATCCAGGAATTGCCAATTGTTGAGTTAGTTAATGGGGTTCCTACACTTGTGCTTATTGTTTCTAAAGAGATCTAACACCCCTTTCTTTGACCTAGTATGTTATGTTTCCCATGCATTTTTGCTCAACACATCATGTACATTCTCCTTACAAAAATTCTTTATTTTTTTTGCCTCTCAAGAATACAGATTCCAAATAATCATAACTGTGTTTATTTATATGGTGGATCTCATCTCTTGTGGTAGATGGTGAAAAGCAATGTGTTATTCACAACTTATGGGCAATAAAGAGAAGCAAGTAATTGTATAGTGAGTGAAAAAAGGAAGGGAAAGAATGTTACACAGAGCAGCAAGAAATGCATATTCATGGTGGTGGGCTAGCCATATTAGAACAAAGCAGTCAAAATGGCTGGATCAAAACCTCCAAGGTCACTTCTTTATATTCTATATCTTCTTATGATGCAATCCTTTTCAACTTCTTAATATCTTTTTGTTGGTATTGCTTGTTGCTTCTGCTTTCTTTTCATCTTTTGTTGAGCCCGGGGTCTGTAGGAAACAACCTCTCTACTCTCAAGGTAGGGATAAAGTCTGCGTACACATTACCCTCCCAGACCCCACTTGTGGGATTATACTGGATTTGTTGTTGTTGTAAAGTCATCAACTATGCCATAACAGGTTATTTTTTCAAGAAAATAACAGAATCTTGAACTACTAGTGTTTTGTACTGCAAATGTTTGTTGTTCCAATGAGCCATAAAAGAAAGAATACTAGAATGTTGGACCAAAAAATATAAAACTACTATAGTTGCTTCTTGTTTGGGGTATTAACAAAGGGTTCAAATTATATACACTGATAGTTTCAGGATTTTCGCACTATCAGTGTAATTTAGCTTGTTATATCAGGTTATTTTCCGGGTTATCAGATAATGTTTTCTATAAATAGTTACCTGAAAATGGAGGCAACTTGACAAGGCCTTGACTTTAACTCCTCTTCTAAGGCATCATTAGCTAATACAAATACATTTAGCTTACTACTATTTGTCTTGGAAGGCATTGAAAGTAGGAAAAAAAATGATAGCAAAGGATTTTTCTGGGATAACTATAACAGTATAGTTCAGACTTGACATTTATTCATTTCTTCTGTTGCCTTATAAATGCTAAACTGGAGGGGCGGGTCCGTTATCCACTGAGTTTCGAACCGTGCGCCATTGCCACTGGGAATGTGTCTGTTACTAAAAAAATGCTAAAGTATTCTCATACATGTATGATGCTTTGCGCTGATAAAAAAAACATGAATGATCTTTCTCCAAAAAAAAACGATGTATGATGCTTTACTTACTTGTGGGAATTCACTGGGTTTGTTGTTGTTGTCGTCGTATGATGCTTTGCTTATACAGAAGAGAAAGAAATGAAGTGAAAGGAAAGAGCTGATTATTTTGCTTGTTATTTGCAGATATGGAGGAGAAGGTTGAGTACGTACTCAAAATCATAGACGAGGATGGAGAATCCTTTGCAAGCCGCGCAGAGATGTATTACAGAAGAAGGCCTGAGCTTTTGAACTTCATAGAAGATTTTTTCCGGAGTTACAGAGCTTTGGCAGAGAGATTTGATCATTTATCCAAAGATCTTCAGACTGCTAATCGAACCATTGCTACTGTTTACCCCGAGAGAGTTCAACTGTCGATGGAGGATGAAGATGGCGAACATTTTCTTGCTGCAATAGAACCTCATAATGAATCTAACGAGCCTCCCAAAAGCTTACCAGCCGCGCCAAAGTTAAGTGTCCCAAAAGTTCCTTCTTTTGCCAAACGAAACGCCAAACCTTCAAGATTAATGTCAAAGAAGGGACTGATCAAATTCAATGTTGACAATGCAACTACTGCTGCTCCTCCGACTTCAGGTCTTAAAAAGTCTGAGGCACTCCAGGAAATCGATAGGCTTCAGAAGGAAATTTTGGGACTTCAGACTGAGAAAGAGTTCATTAAGAGCTCATATGAAAATGGGCTAGCGAGGTATTGGGAAATTGAAGAACATGTCACCGAGATGCAAACAAAAGTTAGCAGCTTGCAAGATGAGTTTGGCATTGGCACGATGATTGAGGATGACGAAGCTCGGACATTGATGACTGCCACAGCTCTGAACTCTTGCCAAGAGACCTTGGCTCGGTTGCAGGAAAAGCAGAAGCAATCAGTGGAAGATGTCATCGCTGAGCATCAAAAAATTTTAGAGGTCCTCGGAAAATTTGAGACTCTAAAGGGAAAATTTGTAAGTCACCTGCCACATCCACAAGTCCTCTCTGAAGTAAATAAGTCTTCTAATCCAGATTCGGAATTGAAGAAGTTGAACCGACAAGTGGAAACTTCTGAAACAAAGAAGTATAATCCAGAGAAAGTGCATTCGAAAGTTAAGGAGTTGCAAGCTAATTCTGCCACTTCTTCCATGTCCGATTTGGCAGAGAAGGTTGATGAACTTGTTGATAAAGTCATATATTTGGAAAGCGCTCTCTCTTCCCAGAATGCTTATGTAACTAGATTAAGAGCAGAGACAAATGAACTTCATTCACATCTGACCAAAGCGGAAGAGGAGAAGGGGAGTTTGGTTGAAGATTCAGAGAGCATGAGCAAGAGGATAAGACAACTAGAGGAAGAACTTCTCAATGTTCAGAATCTCAAAGACTATCATCGCCAACCTCATCTTACTGAAGCAAGTTGCAGTTTTGATGATCTCTCTGACAAATTGCTCAATAAGAAGCAAGATGAAGATGTCAAAGATACTTTGCTATCCAATAAAGTAATCGGTGTTTCAGCTGTCGATAAGGCAAAGCAGTTTCAAGCTCACAAAGCAACCATTCCTGGAGCAAATGTTCTGGGTAGCTCCATAGGTATAAGCAGTAAGGATTGTCTGAAGAAAGAAGGCTTGCAAGCAGAGGAGGGTTGTCTTAAAGTTGACCAGCAAAACCTTGTCGAAAGCCACTTGAGCAATGATACTCAAGATGGACAGACAGGTGTCGCTTTAGAAGCTAACCAGGGTGTTTCAGGTGTCGATAAGGCAAAGCAGTTTCAGGTTCATGAAACGATCATTGCAGAAAGAAATGTTCTAGGTATCTCCAAAGGTGTTAGTACTAACGACGGTCTGAAGAAAGAAGGCTTGCAACAACCGGAAGGTTGTCTTGAAGATGACCGGCAAAATTATGCGGAAAGCCACTCGAGCAACGATAATCAAGATGGAAAGAGGGTTGGCACTTTAGAAGCTAACTACGGAGTTTCAGGTGTCGATAAGGCAAAGCAGATTCAGGTTCATGAAGCAGTCATTCCCGGAGCAAATGTTCTAGGTATCTCCAAAGGTGTTAGTACTAACGACGGTCTGAAGAAAGAAGGCTTGCAACAACCGGAAGGTTGTCTTGAAGATGACCAGCAAAACTATGCGGAAAGCCACTCAAGCAACGATACTCAAGATGGAAAGAGGGTTGGCACTCTAGAAGCTAACCACGGAGTTTCAGGTGTCGATAAGGCAAAGCAGTTTCAGGTTCATGAAGAAGTCATTCCTGGAGAAAATGTTCAAGGTATCTCCAAACGCGTAAGTAGTAAAGAGGGTCTGAAGAAAGAAGTCTTGCAAGAACATGAGCGTTGTCTTGAAATTGACTGGCAAAACTTTGTTGAAGGCCACTCAATCAACAATACTCAAGAGGGACAGATGGGTGGCACGTCAGAAGCTAACCAGGGCATTTCAGGTGTCGACAAGGAAAAGCAGTTTCAGGTTCATGAAGCCATCACTCCTGGAGCAAATGTTCCAGGTATCACCAAAGGTGTAAATAGTGAGGACGGTCTGAAGAAAGAAGTTTTGCATGAACAGGAGGTTTGTCTTGACGTTGACCAGAAAAAGCTTGTTGAAAGCCACTTGAGCAATGATCCTCGAGATGGACAGATGGGTGGCACTTTAGAAGCTAACCAGGGATCAGGGTTGACAGACAAAGAGATGATGACCACTACTACGCATTTGGTGGCATCACAAGGTGTATGTGTGAGGGAGAAATTGAAGACAGACATATGTGCAGATCAA